AAACATTTCATACATAAGTTAAAAGTTCAGTCCTCTTTAGGGCAACTATTTCCTGAAAAATTTTTTTGAATAATATTTACAGCTTTCAATCAACTTAACAAATAATACATAATGTTAGGCATCAAATATTCACACATTGTACAGTTCATTCAGACATGCATCCTGAAAAAAAAAATAAAAAAAAATAAAACAGTGAAAATCCTAAAAGACAAATACGCAAATGATGACTGTCATGAAAAACAGTAAAATACAAAACAAATTTTTTCTGAAAAAATGGCTTGCCTGAAAGTTGAAAAATTTGGCGCTTGAATTTTATGCAATTTAACATGGAAGGCTGTTAAATTTTCCATTTCTTGCCTGGCTTTTCGCATCATTTTCAGCCTGTCTTCACCCACTGCAACAAGTTTCTTACTGGATAGAAATACATATAAGGGGAAAATTCAAACAGCGACTGTAAATTACTGTCACGACGATGAAACTGTGTCGAAAATAAAAAATTATTTCCGTTGAAGAAAAAAGTACAATTCTTGCCGGCTAACAAAAATGGGATGTACTTAAAGACGTTGAGCTTGCTGTGAATAACTTCAATCCTCGAAAAAACAAAATCAATTCACTTTGATAATGAATACCACTTTCATGACATTTATTTAATCGCAGATAAAGCTGGCTATTTGTTATTTAAAAAAGTTCAAAGGGTGGGAAAGAAACTGACGTGCACTCATGCGTCCCGACCGAAAATCATCCAGCAGAGCGGTTAAAGACTGCTCAAGGGCTTCTATATCTGCAGCACTGTCCGGTTCCAAGTCAAATCGTTCCAGGCCACCTCTGGCTCCCAGCTGATTACTCGGCGAAACAGAAGCTTCTCCGCGATCTGCCTTGCTATTGGATGGCGATGCAGCACTCATCATTTCGTACCACTCGTCTGCAAAACAACACTAAATTAGGCGCACAAAAAAATCTTCATATTTCGTAGATTCACAGTAAAAAATAACCAGAACCAAAAAAGGACGAAAAAATTGTCAACTGTAGCATCGATGGCCGTAAAAAATAGGCCATATACAGTAAACGTTCAGTGTATTATAGTAAAAATAAGACAAAAAATAAATATCGTCCGACAAATTTACAATTGCTCCAAAGTGATGCTGCAACGTAACAGTTACGGAGGCAGTTTCATCTGCATAGCACCGAAAATGGACGAACAGTGAGCAAGTAAATGCACCCTGGCCCCAAAAAGTAATAAGGCATT